ATTTGGCATGTGTCACGCACGGTCAATTGCGCCGATGAGGCTCTAAATTCGAAGGCTTAACCGGTCCAAAGATCTCATGCACCAGGGGCTCCGAATCCGAAGACAGTCAGCCCATCTATAATTGGTATTTCTATAATTAGGCCATTTTAACTCCAAAAAAACCAAAAATCAGTACATGGAGTGGCTGTGGCCAATATTGCTCGGCGTTCGTCTTTTGGGGTTGTGTTAATGAAATTGCCTCGGGGTCACTGCAAGGATTTAGAAATAAATTGCCTCGGACTTTTCGCTCTAGTAACTTCGCTTACTGTGTTCAGACTCGATTTAAAACGATTTTGCTGCGTGGGGTTAGATAAGTATGAATGTCAAATGGAGTTTTCTTCAGCAGCAGAGGAGAAACTTGGACTTTGGCTGAGCTTGACATTGCAATGAATCACAGCAGAGAACCCACTCGCGCGGGAGGTAGAGCGTTCAAAAAACGGAAAAACGTTAGGCTCTAAGTCGTCGAAGCAGATCAGCCCAAAGGGAGAAACAACAATGGGGGAGTTCTCCGCAACTGCGACCGAGAAATGAGGCCAACATAGTGCCGCGACCATTGAGTATTACTATTTTCGTGGTGAATTCATTTCTTGTCCTGGATCTTGGCCTTGACGTTGTCTATGGTGTCGAAGCTCTCCACCTCGAGAGTGATTGTCTCGCCGGTGTGAACATCGTGGATTTAAGCGTGGTCAGATCAAGGCATTTCATGTTGCGGATGCTCTTCGATCAACGGGCGTTGATTCAGCGCTGCTGCTATACCAACGCGACGCCGTATGAGAATAGATATTGTAATGCTTCGAACGCAGATTGCGTTTTTGTAATTACTGTTTAATCGAATAAAATGTTTTATTTTAAAAGTTTATCTCATTCTGAATTTTTATATGCTTAATTAAGCATCTTATTTTGAATGCTGGCACGTTTTGTCTTGTTTATGCGGTTGTACTGGCTCAACCTACATATCCCTGCCTTGATGTGTAAATGTTTTCATTTTGGAGGGCGCCCTAAATTCGGAATATTACTCGGCCCTTGAGTGTCACCCGATGGCACTATCTGGTTAGCCGAATTTGGAGGCTTTATTGGCCAAAGACGTCGTGTGCCGATGGGACTCCGAATCTGGAGGCTTTTTCGGCTCAAAGACGTAATACGCTGATGGGGCATCGAATCCGGAGTCTTTTGGGTCAATCGTGATATCCACGAAGAGCACTCCGAATCCGGAGGCTTAATCGGCCCAAAGACGTCATGTGCCGATGGGGCTCCGAATCCGGAGACTTAGTTTGGCCAATCATTAAGGGGTGTTAGTGCAATTTACACTTAATAATATGAAAGATCATCAAGTATAGTTCAAGATACTTCATTTTAGTATACAAGAAAATAGACTTATTTATTTATGTTTTTATTTTATTTATTTATTTTATTTTATTTTGCTTTTTTGTCAATAAAAATTAATATTATATTTCATATTTAAAATTTGATCCCCAAAAAATATATATATATTAATATATATGCTCACCTCTCCATCAAAATTTTTGCCACGACACTACAACATATAAGAGTTTTAGAGACTAAATTTTTTGATCATTTTATTTTTGCTTTTTTGTCAATAAAAATTAATATTATATTTCATATTTAAAATTTGATCCCCAAAAAATATATATATATTAATATATATGCTCACCTCTCCATCAAAATTTTTGCCACGACACTACAACATATAAGAGTTTTAGAGACTAAATTTTTTGATCTCTAAAACTGAAAATTTTGTTGCAAAAGACATTTAAGGATCAATTTCTATCATTTTGAGGATAGTCATGAAAATATCGTCCCGAAAAGTAAAAAATAAGGCTTTTAGCAACAAAATTTTAAAAATGTCACTAATAAATACACCTTTAGGAGACAAAATAATTTGATCTTAAAATGGTTTATTTTTTGAGACAAAAAATTTGGTCCCAAAAAGATAATAATTCATCACTAATGTCAAATTTTCGTTGCTAAAAATATAATAACGACACTTTTCGTAACAAAAATATTTGGTCTCTAAAAAATAATTTTACCTCTAAATTTTAGTTTCTAAAACCTTTTTTTTGTAGTGCGTGGTTGCATTTTAACATTGGAAGATGGCATAACATCTCTCAGCATGTGTCTTTTTTAAAACATGTACACCATGTATCTTCAACGAATGCTTAAAAAAGATCTACTTTAGAAATATACTATTTTAATAATTTTTTAAATTTTTTATAAAATAATGTAAAAAATAAAATAAAATAAGTAATGTGATAATTTATAATGATTTTTTGACTTTTGAATGATATTTGTTATACCTCTTAGATGATGGTATTGGATTAAGAGTGAGGTAGGTCCTATTTAAACCTTGTTTGGTTGTAACAATAATTATGGGACTGACAATCCTATAGGATTGTTAATTACCCCAAAGGGTGGGATTAATAATCCAATGGGAAATGTGGGATTCACAATCCAATCTCATGGGAGTTGAGATCTTTTTCTTGGGCTCTTTCTTTGTTTTTCTACATGTAACGGTAGAAATACACTTTAAGTTGATCCAACGGTTTAGATTTGGATATTTAAAAATAAAATAAAATAAATACAATAAATTTAAATTTACTTTTTTCGCCCAAATCTGAACCATTGGATCAACTCAAGATGCATCACCACCATTGTAAGTAGGGAGACAAAGAGAGAGTTCAAGGAAAGGATCTCAACTCGAATCTCATGGGATTGGGAGTGAAAAGACAAGACTACCTTTACTTTATAAAATTAATAAAGCAATTTTTTTTATACGATGATAGCTTTTAGGTAATTTTATAAATTTAGTTCTAATCAACTAATACCACCATATTAATACACAAATAAACACATTTTCTCTTACATCTTCAATCTAATACTACCGTACTAACAATCTTTTCATCCAATCCTATCGCATTTATAATCTCATTTAACCTAATTCGTCAAACAAATGAGATATTTGACTAAAATATGTAGTCTTTAAACAATTCAAAATTCTTAATTTCAACCCTTACTTCCAATTGCGACTTGAAAACAACCATGTATAGAGAGAAAAAACAATACAGACGAATATATATATATATATATATATATGAACAAAGATACTTGAACCTAAGAACCAGCCTTGACCTAAATTTTGATACCATGTCTACCATTGTTCCAAAAGCTCAACACCCTCAACATTAGAGCATTATTATTATTTAAGCTCAAAAGGTATATTCACTTTCTAAATTTAGTGACATGTCAAAAAGGTTATCAACCAATCATCTTTTTGTCTAGAAAGTGAGTCTATACAATGAACTTTTGTGTCATTTTCCTCAATGTTATTATCATTATAACTTACATTAATAAATACACAAGAGACTCACTGTCTTTATGTCTAGTGATTAAAAAGAATTAATAAAAAAATTTGTTCATGTATAATATAAAAATAATTTAATCAAAATTAATATGGCCTTTATTTTTAGACAAACAAATAAATACGGCCTTGGATTGCGTTACTATGGTAACTGAAGATAGTGAAGATATATATAATGAGTAATACTAGTGATACATACATTTTTATTTATAAATTCATCTATAATGATATAGTATGAGAGTTGAGCCTATCATCATTAAAGTGTGTAACAAAACAAAAGTTGACACATATCCTATCACATCATAGTAGGTAGAATTGCGTGTCCTTTTTGAGAATTTGGTTTTCCTATATATAAATGTATAATATATCTCAAACTCAACTTCAGGGCCTGCTGTTTTCAAAGATTGGATGAGTGAAGAGATTAACAAAATTATGTTGAAATACCATAAATATCCTTTAGTGTTTTTAATATATTTTAATATTAAAAATTAGATTTTATAAATATATTATTATATCAAATTTATTAAAAAATTATATTTTATAAATATATTATTATATCAAATTATTTTTATATAAAATAAATATAAAATAATGAGAGAAAAAAAATTCAAATCAACCCATGGACTTGAAAGTGTATTGATAGATTCTAATAATGTTGATTCATTCATCATCAACAAAGCTTTGCCTTCATCCATCAACAGAGCTTTGTCGATAACACCGACGAGGAGCAAGAACGAGATCATCAACACAATGATGACTATCATCACCGTCAACGACAACGATGATCATCAACGTCAAAGAAGATCATCAACGTGGATCTTCTCATGTATGAATTTTTTTTTTTCTTGCAAGTTTTTGGGTTTGAAATACAATTGAATGATCATCAATGTCAACATGATTTTTTTTTTCCTTGCAATTTTCAATTTCGGAAACTTTGAAATACAGTTAGATGTGGCTAAACCTCGTTGTGGGCAAAACCTCCTTTCACACTGTAATACCAACGCTTGATCCGCTCGTGCGAGGGGATGCTGGCCTCGTTTGGAAACAGACTAATTTAGTAATTTTTTGGCTATTTGGCTAAAATATAAGCTAAGAAAAACTAGTATGTTTGGGATGATTTTTTGACTTTTTACGAAAAGATGTGCAAAAAGTAGAGAGAAAAGAGAATCTTTGACTTTTTGATATGAGTTGTTGGCTTTTGACTTTTTTAGTAATTGTTTGACTTTTTAGCTAATGGGATGATCCCCAAACGAGGCCTCAGAATCCTAACGGAATATCAATTCGGTAACTATTTTGCAAACAAATGTGATATTGTGAATCTGACCTCACTATTGATCTTAATCCCAAGCCCCCAACTCATAAAATAAATAAGGCCCAAGGGTTTGGCTTAATGGGTGGAGAAGGTAATCAAAAGACTTTTTACTTAAGAGGTCGTATGTTCAAATCTCACGAAAGTCAAATATTTCAAACCTTATAAGGTTCGCACGGCCATCAATTTCAGAATTTTGAGATTTATCAGGTGCGTGTAAATTAATCCAAACATTCAGATATTAAAAAATAAATAAATTGCATATCTCAGACTCACTTGATCCTCCTGGGATGTGCTGCCCTTTTGGTAGTTCATGTGGAAGAGTTTGTGCATCTCCTCCGTCGGCTATGGATGGAATCATCAGTCCAAATGAAATTAATATGACAATACAGAGGACAATATGGGTCTGGTGAACCATCTCAGACTCAGCCCCAAAAAAATAACCTGGCTGTTTCTTTTCTTTTTGGTAAAGAAAAAGTGGCTGTCTCAATGGGAGTACCATCTACCTCTGATGACCATTATATAGGAAATGTAAATGCACTACTACAACTATACAAAAATGTGAACCAAAGAATGGGTTATGGTAAGGCTTTGTTTGGAAATAATTTTTTCAGTTTGATTTTTTAATTTTTTTTATTATTTTAGTTTGACTAAAAAAGTTTTGTTCGAGATGATCTTTTGATTTTATTTTATTTTTTGTAATTTTGTGAAAAAAAGTAAAATAATTATGATTTAAATGTGATATTTAATCTTATTAATTTTTCAACATATTTTATCTTTTAATAGACTAACGGGTTGTTTGAGATGAATTATATAAGTGTATTTTTTGAATTTTTAGTTAAAAAAGTAGAGGAAAAAAAATATGTATATTTGGAATAATTTTTTTACTTTTTACGAACAATGTATATTAAAATATTGTATAAACTAGCAAAATTACCGTCCTACCTTTTTTAGTAGTGACATGCTTTCTGTGCATGTCAGTAACTAGTGCCACGTCAATGCACTGGGCTACATTTTTTTTTTTTTTTTACCAAAAGGACATTGTTGGAAGGGGACAAAACTAAAAGTATTTTTGTCTTTTTAACCTTTGTTTATTCAACTTCCTCCCCCCACCCCCCAATATGTGAATAGTGTTAACTTTTTTTACTTTTTTAGTTACTTATTAACCTTTTGTCTTTTTTAGGAGATGTCAAACACCTACTAAATTAATAGTAACCCTCTTGCCAAACCAAGACTAAGGCATCGTTTGGCAATATCACTTTTTAGCTTAAAATTCAAAAAGTCATTAAAAAAATCAAAAAACCAAAAACCTATACTAAAAAGTCAAAATTCTCTTTTCTTTCTACTTTTTTGCACATCTTTTTGTAAAAAATTAAAAATTCATCCAAATATACTAATTTTTTTAATCTCATATTTTAGCAAAAAAATCAAAAAATTACTAAAATAACATATTCTCAAACGAAGCCTAAACATCTTGACAAATATGATTAAAATTTAATTAATGAATTACAAGGTGTATATATAAAATGAATTTAAAACACGTATTAATATTTTTCAATAAAATTGAGAATTTTTATTATTAATAAAAGAATGGAACTTTTTTGATAAATTCTCTTTCTAACAGTTTTATTCCATCTAATCCATATTCTTTTTTATTATTCCCTTAGATTCTATTTGAGGTAAGAAGACCAAAATACCCTCAATTTTTCCTACGCCCTATTAATGTTGATTGTTATTATGTTTTGGTAGTTCTCATACATCAGGATATTGACTGTCATTATATTCATATTAATTTGAAATGAATTTTTATCATTGTGTTGTCAATTACGTGATATGAATATTCACATAATGTAATTAAAATGAATATTCACATCATTATATTATATTAATTTGAAATGAATTCTTGTTATTGTGTTGTCAATTACATGATGTGAATATTCATATTAAAACATATGAATGTGAACATTTACATCACTACATTAGATGAAAGAGAATATTCACATGTTGTGAATAAGAATGTGCTGTCAATTAAAAATATAATAAACGTTATTTTTAATGTATTGTCAATTAAAAATAAGAAGGTTTACATGTTGTGAACATTGCTATATTAGATGGGAGAAATTTTTTTCGAAAGGTGTTGTGAATTTTCACATCATATGAGAGAGAATGTTCACATTATTTTTAATATGATGTCAATTAAGAATATATTCACATCAGATAAGAGAGAATATTCACATTATTTTTAATGTATTGTCAATTAAAAATATATTTACATTATATAATAATATAAAATAATAAGATCAATATTATTTAATTTGTGTATGAAATTTCCTATGTCTTGATCCTTTCCCTTCTCTCTCATCTCCCAATATTAAATATCAATATTAAATATAAGGGTATAAGAGTTTAAGAAAATAATGTAAATCAAGAAAAATGACTTTATGAAATAAAAGTATAAATATATGGGACTAAGTAAATTAAAAAATTCCCTCATGAACTTCTTGGATTAGAACACTTCTAAATGAGATTTATCAATAAAAATTTCATAAAAGAATACCGAAAAGACTACAGATTAGAACCAATTTTAATGGGAAAAATAGTTGAGAGCACTAAAAGTGATATTTTAATAGCACCATTAATAATGTGACAGTAAACCCCGCCTACTGCCTATACTTTATTTTTTTATTTTATATTTTTTAAATATTTTAATACTATTAATGATTTTTTTTTGAGTAGCATGAATCATTGTTGTTTTAATGGAAGTTAGTGATGAGTGTAGAACAAAGGGATTTTATTGGTCAACCGCCACGACGAAGACTCCAACTATGACGAAGACTCCATCTAGTCAAATTTGAGCAACTGGTCAACAGCCCCGACAAAGATTCCAACGACGAAGACTCCAACTAGAGTTGTGTTTGGTTTGAAATTTTTAGATTTAGTTTTTTTTAAATTAAGTTTTTTGATTTCTGTGTTTTTTTATTTTAATGAATATTTTTATAATTTTAAATATTATTTATTTATTTTTTTAGATGCATCTTATTTAGATGTATTTAAAAAGTAAAAAATTTGTGAAAAATATTTTAAAAAATTAATAAATACATAAAAATACAAAAAATGTACTAAATTCTTTTTTCTTTTTTTTGTATTTTTGATATTTAGTGAATTTTTAAAATATTTTTTTCACAATTTTTTTACATTTTGGGTATATTTATGTTAGATATGTCTAAAAATTAAAAAAAAAATACTTAAAATATTAAAAAAATTCAGTAAAAACAAAAAAAATACGAAAAACAAGAAAGTAAAATTTTCTGAAAAGTGTTTTTGAAAAATGATAACCAAGCAAAGTGGGTTTTTTTTTTTCAAAATGCAGTTTTTTTTTTTTTTTGAAAAAGTAAGTTAAAAAGTTAATTTTTTAATTTTTAATTTTTTTTTAAAATATGAAAAAATTATTTATAAGTCCTATTAGGGAAACTTATGCTATATATGATCCTACTAAAAAACTTATGTTCTCATAAGTCCTGTGTGAAATTTGTTGACACATTTATCCTCAATATTAGTTGTTAATATCATAAATAATGGTAAAACCACATATAGAAAATTGAATGTTACCATAGATTAAGTTTGCGAAATGTAACGTGACACCTACATAAACGTAACGTAATACGTTTTGCAAACTTACTAAGTTTTTGATTTTTTAAATTGAATTACATTAGCGTAACATAACGTGACACCTACATAAACGTAACGTGACATCTACATAAACGTAACGTAACGTGTCATGTTACATTTTGCAAGCTTACTAGTTTTTTTGATTTTTTAAATTGAATGTGAAAATGTTACTTGTTCATATATTTTGAAATTCACATTCATATAGATATGATTTATGGTAACATTCAATTTCCTATATATAGTTTTGCCATTATAGTGTATAATAGTGTATTAATACCATTTATTTACAACTCATAGGATCTTCTGCAATATATTCCTATCTAAGGGAGCTGTTAGAATGTGCACGTGATTAAATTGTGCACATCATATATGCCTGACTTTTAAACCATTAGATATATATAAATTAATCTGAACCATTAAATAATTTTATTAGAAAAATTAAATACCTGTTGAACTGGTTTTTCTTTTTTCTTTACTGCTTGTTCTCATCCCACAAAGCCTCACGTTGTTTTGGTCCGAAACCTTCATTCTTTCAGACAAAACTCCGGCGATCTTCTTCACCCTAGAAGACCATCCCATGAAGTGCAACTCCAGCGATCTGTTTTGCCCCTGTTTTACTGATTGTTCCATCTATATTCTCTGAATCTGAAAATTTTTGCATAACCCATGAATAAGAATATTGTAATTGTATGCATCATGAAGTAGTCCATACTTAAACATCATACAAAAGAAAGATTTTGCAACATCTACGTAACCCATTTTACAGAACCTTGACATGACAGTATTGAATGAAGCAACACAGAGCCCAAAATGCTTCCCTTCATTCTCTTGCAGGAAGGCTACTGCTTCTTGTAGCAATGATTGTCTGCATAGACCATCTATTAGAATTGAATTGGTGTGTTCACTCTGAGGAGTCCCACTAGCTTTGATTTCATCATATACATCCCACATGATACTAGTGTGCCTTAAGTTGTACAACAAACTGTTGTAGGTCAAGATTGAAGCTTGGATTTTCATGTCTTCATCTTGGCAATAACAAAGAGAGCATCATGGACCATCTCTGACCTTGAATAAGCAAAAGCCAAGATGTCTCATACCACACCACTTGATTTCCAAGCCTTGAATCTATTCCGAAGCACATACCTAGATGGAGGATTATAATTGGGTTTGATCAGTATCTTGACGTAGTCATGTTTGCCTCTCTTGTTTTTCTAATTTTCTCTGATAAAAAAAGAAAAATAAAAAAAAAGAAGGTGTTATGATTATGATTCATTAGTAAAAGTTATGATTTGTACTATCAAAAGTTATGATTTGTCATGGTGAATTATAATAAAAAATGTTACGATTCAAATGTTATGATAATTTGTTAAAAATAACTACAGTCGTTATGAGTCGTTGTTATATTGTTACGATTGATAGTGTCTTTGTTATGATATCGTAGTGTATATTATGACATTGTTATGATTTATTGTAATATTGTTATGATATTTCAAAAAAGTTATGATTCTTTCATATAACCTATTAGATGACCGGTTTAGCAGGTCATTTTTTATGATGTGGCACGATATGGACCATACAATAAGTGCATATCATATGCTCTTTTAGAAGGTGCACATTGTAAACTTTCCTCCTATCTAAATAGGACTTGAAACTCTATAAGAAATTACATAGGACTTAACATAGCATAAGTGTCCAAAATAGGACTTATAAATAAATCTCCCTTAAATATATATATAAAAAGTACATATATAATATGATTCAAAAAAATTAAAAAAGTTTAAATTTTCAAAATGGGCTGAAGATGATTCACATTAATATATCGTAATAAATAAAATAAAATAAAA